TCGTTCTCTCTCTTATTATTTTTTTTTTTTTTTTCAATCACGCTTATTTGATAACCTATATGGCTTGCACGATGATTCTTGCGCTTTCTCATAAAATATCATTGAACAACAACGTTATGTATATGAGCCAAGCGTATACAATTTCTGACGTATACCCAAGCACGTACCTCGCAGCGCAGCAACGATTTTTACGTAATTGGTAATTGCCATCACTGGGAACAATCGAAGGAGCACCCCCAGTGGGCCCACGATCGCGATAGAAGCAACGATTCACCTCGACGGACGTGTATTTACAGTAATGTGTCTTCTCCATGAAGGGGGAAGAGAGAAAAGAGTGCAAATGAGCCTCGAAAGAAAGAGGTAAGTCAAGTGCACCGAGAGAAACTAACAACGGCTGCACTGGCACATCGTCGCTTTCGCATCAGCTTCTTTGTTTGCGTCTACCTTTGTGTGTACACATCGAGTGCGTATAATCGCACACATACACACTTGCCAGCAGTGGAATAACAACGAGCAGTGGGGACGTAATCGAGTGAAAGTGCAGAAGCTTCGCGATACACGTACGCGTGTATTGGATAGTGATACCCCCGCTATAAGCGCGTCCACGTAGGTGCTTCCTCTCCCTCTCCGTCAGTCCCTTATCGATTGACATTAGACAGATTCTCGCCTATTTTCCAACCATCCCTTTTATCACTCCACCCACACACCCTCTCCTCCGCCTACAGTCATTTCGCTCTCTTTCTCTGTCGGTCGGACTCTGTTACGTTTGTCAGAGATCGCGTTTCGCTCTTTCACCCCCGACCCCCCCTTTGCTCCAGCGTCTAATTGATCGGCGAATGTGGCACACGCATACATCTAAGTGTCCATGCAAGTGCACCTTACAACGATCCATATCTGCTCTGGGAGTTTTTCTTTTTCGGAAGGCCATCGGAATGACATATGCATACGGCAGTGTTTTCACTTTTAGGACAACATTTTTCCTTTGTTTTGATTACATATTGGAAATAGAAGAAGAAGAAATTGTCTTATAATTTCATGCAGCTCGAGTTTCATCAACAAAAACAACAAGCGAGAGAGGGATGGAATTTTTAAGTGTCTCTCGCGTGTAAGCTGCACCTCGCGCGATAGCCGACCAGCGAGGAGTGAGGGAGGGGGGGGAGCCATCTATGTTTAATATACACATACGCTCGAGTACATATTTCATGTATGAAAACTGTTGCGCTCGGCTTCTCTCATTTCCCTCTCTAAAGCGGATTACCCTCCGAAATAAGATGAAAGGGGATTTTATATATATACATTTTTTTCTTTTCTTTTTATTACCATCACACACGAGACGCGCGGATCAAATCTCCGGAGTTTGTGCATTTGTTTTTGTTTTCGTACCTTTTTTCAAGTTGATAAAAACCAAACAATCGATACCCAAAGAGCAATTTTCTTCTGCACTATTTCTGTCACACCGCGGCACTTTGTCTCTCATCTACAATTGAGATACTTGATGAAATCTCAAGGTCTAATCATATAGATGTGCAAATGACCATTCAAATACACCTATATACATATGAGCAGCTGTAAATAAAAAAAAAAAAAAAATAAATAAATAAATAAAAAATTTAATCCACATCCCTGGTAGAAGCAATGAATAATTTAAAAAAAAAAAAGGCACAAGAATCAATCGTCTACGGGGCTACCGTGTAGGCGCAGACAAAAACACCCACTTACGATGAATCGACATCGTGCGCTTCTGCAGTTATAATACGGACAGTGGGAGAAAAAAAAAAGCCCCATGAAATAACGTCAAACTTGATTTAACGCACCCACATGCGCGCGACCAACCCCCCCATACACTGCGAGCCTTCTAGAATTTCCAATCGATTCTCGCTCTCCTCGAAAACCACATGCAAACCATAAATATGTGTACGGATGGGGGGGGGGGAGGAAGAAAAAGAAAAAAAGGAAGATACCTCATGATCTCGTTCTGACTGTCGTCCTCCTGCTTCTGGCGCATCATGACGCTCTCTATGTGCCGCCGCTCCTCGGGCGTGAGGTGCGATAGGTCCGGCATCTCCTCCATCCTCGGGGGCAGTGGGCGGCCACTTCCTGCGCTTCCTCCTCTTCCTCCACCTCCGGCCGAGACAACGACCGATGCTCCCTACGTGCCCGCTACGGGAGAAGAAGCAGCCAGCGCGGCCAGCTGTCCTTGGGTGGTCGCCCGGCCGAGTCATCCGCCAGTACCACCACCACCACCACCGTTGACCCCTGCACTCTCTTATACTTTGGTTCCCTCGCTGTTATTATTCCCACGAGCGCACCTGGTACTCGTAGCCGCCGACGATGCCAGCGTCGTCCTCCTCCTCATGGGTGACGCGACGACCCAAAAAAGAGCCAACGACGGAGGAGCACCGACAACTCGTCCTAATCTCCTTTTTCTTGGTCCTCCTCATGTTATCGCGGCGCCGCCGGCCAGCGGCTACGAGCCCCCAGGGCGCCCCGTCCCGGCTCCAGAGCGCTCCAGCCACGGCGACGGGTCCCCTCGCATCGTGTATACCCACGCGCGCACTTTTACCCCCCTCCCCACCCCCCCGGTCGCTATGGTGCCTTTCACGCGTACATTCGATTCGCCCAGCGGCAGCTCTCCTCGGGCCACACACACACACACACTTGCGCCTAAGGAGGCCACTACCAGCCAATCGATAGATCTCTCCCGTCCACGGGACACCCTCCGATGTGGGAGCCTCTTCTTCCAACTACTTATACTATAACCCTTTTTTTTGCCCACTCCACCACCTCAATGATTCTCTGTAGTATTTTGTGTCCTTTGGCGAGGATGCAACACCCGTACGGCGAGTAACAATATGTCACGTACGTCTACCCGAGAGTGGCCTTCTTCTCGTCTCGCTCCTCTCGACTCTCGTACACACGGTGTATACACAGCGAGGTCAAGCGCGCCCTCCTCGATTTCGTCGAGCGTGTGTCTGTGTGTGTGTACTCGTTCTCTCTCCACCACACTATTACATACACACACCCATCTCCGTACTTTCATGTATCCCCCTCCCCCCCCCCAAGTATATGCGCTCTTGTACGTGGTGCGGGTGTTTTACTTATTTGTTTATTTCGTTGAGTGCGAGCTAAGAAGAATCGTACGTCAACTCTCACTTTTTTTTTTCTTGCGGCGCCGTCTGACCGAATCGGGCTCGTTCTACTTGTGGCTCACCGTACACCGCGTTGTACTATTACTTTTCAATCTTCTTCTTCTTCTTCTTACAGGTTCGTTGCTTCGAGGCGTTGGCTGTATAATTATTATTTATGCTGGTTTCTTGTATACAACTTGTAAACTCGCGGGGGTTTTTTTGTTTTTTTTCGCCCCCACCCGCGAGGGTAAGTGCACACACGACGAGGGGAGAGCTCGCGAGAACCCGACGACGACGGTAGCAGCTCTCCGGGGGAGAGGAACAACTTCTGTGCCGCCGATCGGTGTATTCGTGGCTTACAGGGGGAGGCAAGGAAAAAAAAAGTGGTAATATGCTTGCGCGCGCAAACTCTCGCTCTGAGACACCCCCCGTCCCTCGACGAGAGAGAGTACAGGGTAGGTTGTGGAGTCACCGTGAACGCCGCGCTCGGTTTGAAAGGCAGCTTTTTTCGTATCTTCGTTGGGTCGGCTTTTCTCTGAAAACCAGGGTTTTTGCGGACAAATGCACCACATCTGGAAAAGTAGGTATACGTACCTTGGATAACAAAACGAAAAAAAACAAAGTGTGATTACGTGCGAGAGAAATAATATGCCGATGCGGCGCGCGCGAGGGCTTGGGCCAATAAGCGCAGGTTTGCGTCACGGTCTGCTTTTATTGATCCGAAGCTTAAAAGCTGTGTATATGAGCGGGACTTAAGAGGGGGGGGGGGGGAAGGCAGCTTTATATATATGGTGATTTTGGTGCTCACGGTAAGGTAGGGAGCCTCGATTTTTACCCGAGGAGCACGTGCGTTTTGTCTTGGGTGATATGAGAAAGGTTGTGGTTTCGTATGATAGTAGATGCGGATCGGGTATTGGTAAGACATGGTACATTTTGCCTCGAGCATAAAATTTATTATAAAATTATTTTTCGACAGTAAACAGAGTTTGTATACATGAGCATGAATTTTCTTTTCCATTTTTTTTTACATAAAAATTTAACGCTTCACATCATTGTTGTTGCGAAATTAATCACTATAAAATAAAATACTTTTTTTTCTTCATTTGTTCGAATTGACGTGCGTTACGTTGCGACTAAAACATTTATCGAGTATATTATAGAATCTCGACTAAAATATATCGCTGGATAAAAAAAGCGTACGTGATCACTTGTAAAAATAAAACTCTAGAAAACAATAGATTCGATCGAGTTAATTGTGTCATCACTTTTATGACGAGTACATCGAGTCATTGTAGAAATATATATTTATAAATCGTTTCCAAGACAGGAACGACGAATCGTTAAAATAATCATCGTAGATTGCGTATTGTACAATTGCACGGTTTCATTTACAAGTTCAACATGATTCTTTACAGTTTCTATCAAGCGTGTCTACGCGTATTTGTTCTAGCAAAGTTACTTCCTTAGGTTTTTTGTTCGTTTGTTTTTAATACCTTATTTACACTATTCGAATCTTTTTGTAAAAAAGGGCCTGATGCATTAAAAACAAAAAAAAAAAACAAAAAAATCTACAACACCATTACTTGGCAGTATTTAATAAATTAGTATGGCTGGTAAAAATAAAACTTTCAAAAAAAGTTGTACTTACATACTACGGTCGTCAAAAACGTTTTGTTCGATTAAAACATACTTACGGTTAATTTGTTCATAAGTTACCTATAAACTGTTATGGCCTCGTGATTTCGTATTGTAAAAATATTTCTACTATACAATTACCTACATATTTACATGTCTGTCACCAATTCTTTGGTGACATCAATGATTGAATACGATTTAAATGCTCATATAAATTTGAAGCATTTCTGTTTGTCATGTGGTATCCGTGTTTTGAACAGTATCGAATCGGCTCGATATTGCGTGTTCATTAATGGCATGTAACCAAAGACCTTAGAAAAAAAGAAGAAAAATCGTCAATTTTTAATAAAAATTCTTTTCATGATTGTTTTTTTTTTTTCCCAATGATACCTACTTGTGAAAAAAAGTTGATACATTTGTGCCTTTCTTGAAAATGCGTGTCATCTTCCGACAGTGACACTGGACACCCTGGACATCTAAACGTCCACCGAGACGTGACCTAAGAATAAATTAGTGTGTAAAATATAATTCGATGCAGTTTTAATTAATCTCACCTTTACTGGAGGTTTCCTCGTAATATGCGATACCAAAAAATTCATCGCTATGTCCTCGCAGTTCATGTACTCGTCGACTTTGTCCCTAATAGCCTGAGGTAGCCAATGAGTATACAAATAAGTGTAATGCTTGTGAATGAATGCAGCGCCCGTCAATACCATCGACAATTCGCACGAATAATTGGAATTGTAGTTCCAAGTGTTATGATTATTTTGATCCCAAGCGTGAAAGCGCCCTGGAAAACCAACCACTCTGTCTCTGTGTTCTCTCCAAACTCTGAACCCAAACATTATTTCATCGTGTCGCAAGTGAGCGTCATCATCAACGGACAAGACGGCTTCTGTCTCTATGGCATCGAATGGCAGGAACCTGTTATTCAAACTATTCCTCTTGGTTTTGACAACCTACGATGAGTTAAATTTTTTTTATTTCTGTCAAATTTCTTTCTAATTATTTGGAATTAATGATTGGACACGTACGTGTACGGGAACCCCAATATCGGGCCACCTTAGATCCTCCACAGGTGGCTTTGGACTATTCCAGACGACGATGACTTTGTTCAAGTATGGCAAACCGTAGAGCCGGGACAGCGAGTTGATCAAGACCTGTTCTCTTTCGTAGGTGAGCATCACGATAGTAAACTGTTCGCGCGGATGATTGCCGCCAAGTGCTTCGCTGAACTCCTTACCTGAACCACCGGCTCCTTTATTTATTGGACGAAATCCGACTTCCGAGCCTATGAACTTGGCATCACTGGGTAAGACCGTATCAAACGGCAATTGAGGATACAGATTGAACGGATCGACCCAATCGTTCCACATTTCATAGCCTTGCACCAGCATTATCGTATAATTTCTTTTGTAAGCTGGTGACGGGTATGGTGGCTCCAATGGACCTAGATTCTCTTCAGCTTCGGATTCAGCGATTATGGCATCCGACCTCAAAGGCTAAAAAAGGACAATATATTTATGTTTCATAGATGAAAGTTGTTAAATTTTTTCGTCAAACAGGAACATTCAGTAATAATTACCACAAAGGAAGAATTAAAAACGCTAGTACTTGGGGCTTGAGTTGCTGGTAAGGGAGGAATGCCTAAGCGAGTTCTCAGCACGGCAACAATCGTGTCAACTGTACTCTGAGCTGTTCCCAAATAACGTTCCCAAATGAGCCTTCCTTGCCTTCTCATGGCTAACAGATCGTTGTCTGGAACGGCTCTCAGTAGGAAATGCATCTCTGTAACTCTGGCCTATAATTTATTAATAATATACTGTATTTTTCTGATGTTTTGAAAAATAAATGCGCATACCTTGGGCAAAAATATTGCAGCCCTCCTCCAAGCAATAACTTCTTTGTAACTCAAAGACACCCTATCTCCTCCTAAAATAACGGGTATGGCACCAGATCTCAACGCCTCGTACAGTCTCGTCTGTATCGAGGCAGTGGACAGAAAACTAACGTTACTCGGAGCAAGTATCAGAGCAAACGTCGACTCCTTCAAAATGGTTTTTCTCGACGACTCCGTGCCGCAAAGTGACCAGTCCAGGACCTCGTTCAACTTTTTCTCCTCAGATGCGGGATTGCACTCGAATTCTATGAAAAATTTGTCCAACGTCACGCCATTGCTCATTTCTCTTAAATGCTGAATTATGAAATTGTCTAAATTGTTATCATCCAGAGATGCTTTTTCAATGTCCAACTCGGCGTCGTCTATCACTTGATGCGTCGTAGACAACGACTTCAAGGCGCGCATTTCACCTGAAAACAATAGTCATTCAACTGTTATTACTGTAAAACTCTGATGTTGAAAAAATTTACTCTAGATCAGTTACCTTGAAATGATAGTAAATATTTCCTTCGAGCGGGCAACATGTGAGCACATTCCTGCCAGATGTCACCCCCTGGAGGCCCCAATATCGGCGGTACAATCAGGTCAAAACCTTCACGAAAGCGTTCTCTCAGAAAGGTCGATTGTACAACTATGGCACGGCCAGTATCGGTTCTGTCAAACATATCTGCAGAGTTAGCAGACAAATCTCTACGTGCAAGATTCAAAAGTATGTGATTTCTGCCATCACCACCCCAGTAAGGGAGCGACTGAAGTTTTTTAATATCCAGAGGATGGCTGATACTGGCGGGAGTATTTTGGGATGCTGGTAGAGCTTCGCCGACTAGGACAATGTATATACACGCCTCTGCGGGATCGAACGTCAGGTGTGCATTGTAGCCTAAAAATATTAAATCCAAATGCTGTGGTGTATCTGAGAGAATAACGTATGGGATATTAGAGCAAACATTGACGTACCAAGAGTGTGCTTGATGTAGGTCTTCAAAAATCCATCAATGTCCCAGCCAGGATTGACGACAGAAAACTCCTCGGGATCGTAGAGATAGACCGGAAAGCCACTGGTCAGAGCACAGCGACTGTGATCGAAGCAATTAAACATCCGGCAAGCTCGGGAGTTCAAGTTAGGAGGCAATACCTCCGGCACGGCGTCGCCAAGTATTCTCTTAGGCGGCGCCAGCTCCGGCGTATTCCTCTCCACGGCTTCCCTCTGAGCCGCCTGTGCCTGCACAATGCTGATCTTCATCCTGTCCAGATCCATCTGTTGGTGCAACATCTCCTGCTTGAGCTCGTCTATCTGCTGGGTCAAGCTGCTCACCTCCGAGAGCAGCTTCCTGCGCTTCACCTCGAGGTCCCTGAGCTCGTTGCTGACCGACTGTTTGATACGCAGCATCTCCTCTATGCGGTACTTCAGATCAGCCGCCTTCATCGACGTGAAGTCGTGGAAACCCTCGAGCTTGGCTCTTGTTTGGTGTACATCCAGGTACGACAGATCTGTTTCCACCTGCAATTGAGATGTACGTCACGTGTTTTAGGATGGTACTTAAATACAGAGGATATACAGGGAGATCGGTATGTGACATGATCGTGCGCTTACCTTGGAGAGGTAGTAGTGCGAGAAGAAGGGCACGATGCAGAAGAGAGCGATGACCAAAACAACGAATCTGGGAGAGCGGTGGCGTATGAGCCATTGTTTGACGTCCCTGAAGCTTCCTCCGCCTCCGCCGGCGCCTCCTAGGTGATGGTAAGCCGACGAGTGGCCAGCCTCCAGGCTGTTTACCATCATCGTCCACGTCGTGCGTCCACGTCATTTACCTCCGCACCCTTCTGGCTGGCGTTTGTTCGTCTCCTCCTGCTCTTGTGTCGGTCGTTGCAGCCCGGATTTACCCCGGACTACCGATACTCACACGCGTCCGTTACATGACATATTTTTTTTTTTTTTCATTATTTAGTTCTCATCAATCACATGCACACGAGAGCACTACTCTCAGTCCTCAGAGCAGCAGCATCTATCTAGAGAGTACTCTGTATACACACACACACACACACACACACACACACACTATTCGTCATCTCTGTATCCACCCACGCATCGCATAAGCTGTATTCCGCAAATGCTGCCATGATGCATAGTATACAGTCAGAAGCGGGCCACAGATGGTACCAGGATCGGACCATGCACGGAGTTTGTGGTTTTTCGTTTGTGGCACCAGAGAATGGAGATGGACCACATAGTTGCAACAAACTTTTTTCTGATCGGGAACTGTCAAACTGTCGCGACATGTCAACATTGTCAACAAACTCCGAAATATCAGATGGCATGGGAGCGAAAACAGTAAAAAATATCGAAGTTTGTTGACATGCCGAACAACCCATATCGATAGTTCACAGTTAGTGCAGGTTGACGCTAGCGCCGCCCGACCATGCGGCGTTACCACGACCTACGCAACTTAACTGCTGGCAGCATCTGCGGAAATGCGGCGGAACACAGCCTATATATATCATATACGTATATATGTATATTCACAAAATATCGTCTGCTGCAAGTGCAGCAGTCTGCATTCGACAGCTGATTAGTTGAAGCGACGTCACAAAAACATACATTGCGTGACATTTTTTGTTAAAAAAGTATCGTAAGCTTCGTTTGTAGACACTATTTTTCTCTAAAGATCACAGAAAACTTAAAAACTACGGATAACTTTGCACCTGACTCGAGCTACTGGCTAACAATAATTTATAGTTGTACTTATTCGTACGATTATACAAGTCTCCAGCGTCACAAGAGGCCGCATTACAGGTGAAATATGTTGCCGGAGCCCGGAGTCCCGGAGTAAGGGCTGTTTTCCGCAAGAGATAAACGTAAGTTGGACCCCCAGCACGTGTAATGTGAGCACTCAAAAGAAGCAATAAGTTTTTGTTAAACCGCTTTGCTTCCGAGCCCTAAACTTATGTTTTATATTATTTTCGTCAATTAAAAGTTCTAAAAGAAACATGCATCGGAATTTTGCCTTTCTGACACGGAACTTTCAAGTGATAATAAGAAGATCCTATGCTCGTTCTCAGATTAGAGTTAGATTTGCTCCCAGTCCCACAGGTATGTTGATGTTATTTTTGTTTTAATAATATAGTGATGTTCTATTAATTGAAGAAATACCTGATTTTTAAGTAATTTTATCCAGAGTATTTTCTTTTATTTTCAGGCTATTTACACCTTGGAGGACTGAGGACAGCACTGTACAATTATTTGTTTGCTCGCTCAAAAAATGGCTGTTTTATCTTGAGGATAGAGGACACAGATCAGACTAGAGTTGTACCTGGTGCTATGGAGCAACTTCACAGTGATCTCATGTGGGCTGGAATAATCCCAGATGAGGATCCAATCAGAGGTGGTCCTGTTGGTCCATACGTTCAATCAAAGAGGTTGGATTTGTACAAGGAGCATGTGGAGATTTTGCTGAAAAATGGCTCAGCTTACAGATGTTTTTGTTCTGAGACGAGATTAAAACTGTTAAGAAATACGGCAGTGAAAGAAAGTCAGACTCCAAAGTATGATAATCGTTGTAGACATTTTAGTGATGAAGAAGTGAAAGACAGACTCAAGAGAGGACAAACTTATTGTATTAGATTTAAGGTATATATTTACTCACTTATGTGAATAATTGATTCGAGTTTTCAACTAATTTTTTTTTAATGCAGCTGACACCAACGCCAGACCCATTTAAAGATTTAATTTATGGTGATATAACTTATAACGTGTCTGTGAATGAAGGAGATCCTGTTATTTTTAAAACAGACGGATTTCCTACTTACCATTTTGCAAATGTTGTGGATGATCATCTAATGGAAATCTCACATGTTCTTAGAGGAGTCGAGTGGCAAATGTCAACCCCAAAGCATTTACTTCTTTACAAGTAAAACAATTATTTTTTTAATGAATTACATGATACTTAACACATTTAATAAATCCTAATTTTCTAGAGCGTTTGGGTGGACCCCTCCTCAGTATGGCCACTTGCCTTTGATTTTAAATTCAAATGGTACAAAGCTGTCAAAAAGGCAGGATGACATAAGAGTGGATTATTACAGGAAGGATGGAATTTTGCCTTTACCATTACTTAATTATATAACTCTTGCTGGCAGTGGTTTTGTTCGTGATAAAGGCCTTTCTCATTGCTATAGTTACCAAGAATTAATCAAATCTGTATTTATATTTTATCATATGTCCAAACAATTACTTCTTCGTTAGTACAAAATTTAACTTGTAATTTATTTTAAAATTTTCAGTTTGACATTAACAAGATAAATGTCAATTCTAGTAGACTAGATCCAATAAAATTAATGGAATTCAATCAATTAGAAATTTCAAATCTCGTTAGTAATAAAGAAAACCACAAGTTCTTAGTTGAAAGAATTACCAAACTTGTTAAAGAAGCTTTTTCCGATAGGTAAGTATTGTTATAATTAAACTCATTTGTTTTAATAGTAATTCAATTTTTAAGTCCCCATGAAACTGTTATCTTAGAGCATTGGACGATAGTTTGAATTTAAATCCAGATCACATAATAGCGACGCTAAAATGGGCCCAGCACAGAATTACAAAGCTCAGTGATTTGGTCAAGTCAGATTTAAAGTTTTTGTGGGTGAAACCTAACGCAGGAAAAGACCTTAAGTACTTGGAGGCAGTAGATGTACTAAGTAAAAAACTTGAAGGCCTTGAACGTGATCATTTTTGTAAAGAATCTTTGTTAACTCATTTAAAAGAATTTTCTAATAACAATAACGTACCGTTTGCTGACTTGATGAAAACCTTGAGAAGTCTTTTAAGTGGATTGAAGGTAAAAAAAAAAAAAAAAAGAAAAAAAAATGTTTTGGCATAGGTTTAACAGATTCTGATGGAATAATTTTTGTACAGGAAGGTCCAGGAGTTGCAGAAATGATGGAAATTTTAGGTAGAGATACAACGTTGAATCGCTTAAAGCGTAATGTTACTTGAATAAAATTTCTTCAGCATTTTTATCGTAAATAAATGCAAATAGCAAATTTTATTTTTATTTTCTCGAAAATTTTTAGACAATAAATAAAATTGCAAACACATATTCCTGTGAATTTCTGTCAATTTATTCCTATGTTTTTCCTCTCCAATTTATTGCTTATATATTTAATGTTAGAACAATATACAATAGATAGTAAACGAAATTAATTTTTTTCCTGAGTCATGCCTTTCGCCTTGACTATAGTCATACTTAGAGAAAATAATATATGTAGTAAAATTAACAAAAGAGAAATTAATATGACGATGCAAATTCATATAAAAATGAACATATTGAATTAAAAAATTTAGTTTTATTGTAAGAAAACATTTATGAGTGAATTCGTAATCAAAAACACAATTATGAAATTACGAATCGCGTGCATACTTATGTGTAAATGTTATGTACAGTTTTTAGTTTACAGTAGGAAAGAGATAAGACAGTTGTTTTATCATGTTATGAAAATGCGTACACGTATTGTACAATTAACTCAATAATATATTTTAACATTAATTATTTGATTTGAATATTAGTTACTTGGGCTATCTTTTTTTTTAAATACGATTTTTTTTTTTTTTTTTTTGATTATGTACTAAAGTTCATTTTTTAATGTTAAATAATAAGATTTTTCAATACCTACTTGTATTTTTTTTTAAATCCAATTGAAAATTTTTTTTTTATTTTAACACTGCAAGAAATTAATTTCTTGTATATGCTGTGACCGCTTTAATAGTGCTATTTGCTGAAAAACGATGTAATTACTTAATGAATACATGGGGAAATTCAGTATAAAAATTAAAATTAAAATTAAAATTTAAATCATTGATCTTAAAAATCGAAATTTATTGTAAGTGAACAATTTTCAAGTACACTGAAAAATCCAAAATTTCCAAAATTAAAATACATATGTTTTTTTGTATTAAATAAATAGGAAGTGTTTTTTCATTTGTCTGTTTTTATTGTTTCTTACCATTTCAATATACGCCTTCCACGCATATAAGTGAACCATTTGTGCTATAAAGATAATATAATAATTCGTAACAATAGAGAAGGTCATAGCACCTATAAATGTTTCACAATTAATACGATATAAAGTTTCAATCCAATATATTTTGCAATCGTAGTTATGAGAAGACTCGCATAGTGTACGAGCTTGTACTTCTGTTCGTAATTGGTATTTTGTTTGCCATTAAGTCGTTCTGACAACAACACTTTTATTGGTTAATTTTTTTATAATTTAATTAAAAAATCGTGAAAGAGATTCACAGCAAAAAGCAAGGAGTTCGGAAAGCATGAGAAAAACACCTATGGAAACCGTCAAATAAATAATGTTGTACTCAGAGATATTTACAGCGTATACTAGATTTTAGAACTTTTAAAGTAGATGGAGCTGTATGCTATACACACCATGGATATAAAAATATCTAAACTAGATTATTATTAAGACGCAACAATTACATTACTTAATATTTATAAATATAAATCAATTACATGGAACACTTATACAAAAAACATACTATTTGGCATCGAAGGATAATTTTTTTAATTTAAATTGAGTTGTAAAGACTAATTATTTTTCACAAGTTGAAAGTAAATTTTCAATAACTCGCAATCGATAAGTTACCCAAGGTTCTTAAAACAATGTGTATATAAAATGATATCAAAGATAATAAAATACACGCTAAAAATAATTAAAAAAAAGAGCTGCAACATTCTGTGCGCAAATTGAATATGTTTTAAGCATTTTTAGTAAACAGTACACGTGTTAAGGTATCACAGTATTTTTAAATACAAACATCGTTCGTTACACTACTGTCTTGTTAACGCGATAGAATGTACATTGAGAATTCTTTTTCAGCTACCATTTTATACTTTTTTTTTTTTTTTTTTTTTTTTCTTCAACTAATAAATCGAGAATTATTAAACTTACTTTCTATACGATATACATAACAATTGTTTTAAATTTTTACTTTTCATTCGTGTTTTTACTGCAAAAGTTTTTTAAAACCATGTACAATTTCTTCAACATCATAATTCTCACACTACTGATTACAACGTTGACTTGAAAGAAAAAACATTAGACAATAAAATTATCTGAAAATTATTGTTATAATAACTAATAACAAAACTTTTTTTTTTTCATTAGCATCGTGCTTTTGTTAGAAACTGACACAATATCTTATTTTAATTGTAAATGAACCTATGACCTTTCGTACGGTACAAAATAAACATTATTGCTAGATTCAGTTTTAATGACCGATTAAGTTTCAGTTCTTTTTTTATGGTATTTGTTTAATATATTCAAGGGAATTCATTAGTGAATCTATGCAGGAAGTACTACTGCAACAAGAAGGCAAGAGTTTTCGTCCGAAGACCGATAGAGCGCATTTTTTTCGAGACAGTCTTCCATCGGATACCCACTATAAAAATGCCGTAACTTTATTTCGTGCACACTGCTTACTGTGAAAATAAATTAACCTGTTACAATTAATTTTATGCTTGTACAGCATTTTAAGTAGGTGAAGTAACTAGTGCAAAAAAAAAATGTTGAAAAGTAATTTGTTGACTCAAATCTTTATTTGAATTTTTTAGCGTTTATTTAAAGTTATTATTGATAATTAACAAATTTTTACTTTATGGCTATTTTTTATAGTGCATATATTGCATTTACATTTAAAATTTTAATGTGAATTAGCACAAAATTACAGTGAAAACAAGTGAATACAGACGTATGCACAAAATTTGAACACAATGACATTGATATCGTCAAGGATGGTTAGAGTTTAGTTTTCTCCACTTAATAAAAAAAAAAAAAAATTATAATAATACTGATACAGATGTGCGTGAAAAAAATTAAAAGAAAATGCAAATTAAGTTTAACCATGAGTGTAATTAGACACATAAAATACAATGTACATATTAATACATTGATAAAATGGTTACAAATTGTTAAAGTTATTTTACTTTTGGTAAAATTAGCACATTCAAAATCCATACGCACGAGTTCTCGTTTTTTTTTTTTTTTTTTTTTTTTTTCATAACAATGGTTAACAGTAATTTTTTTTTTAATTATTATAATTATTATTAGATGTTAATAGTTTTGAGCAAGAAAGGCGCTTTTGGAAATTTACATTATATTACTTAACATACACGTCATTATTTTTTATTATTTTTTTCTTCGACGTTAATGCGTGTGCAATTTTACAACAGATGGGAAATCGTTTTTTTTTTTTCTTTAAAGAGGCACAGTGCAGTCAAATAAATATTTACGCTTTTTTATCTTTTCCTTGTTCAAATCAGGCACTTAAGTGCTCATTTTGTTTTGTATACTCACTGCCCTAGAATAATTAATATTCTGACTTTTATTGTTACGGCTCTTGTTTTTTCGTGTGACAAATTTTTTAAATTTATTACCACAGTGAATAACAGATCAATTGTTTTGTAAATTTAAATAAGGTCAAATTTTTTAGTAACTCTTTAAAGTGGGATTCTAGGACTGTTTAATTACCTATTATATATTACCTCTATTTACGGTTTGGTAAGAACATTTGATGTAATATTTATTTTTAGAAAATACCAGCTGAAGAAATACGTAATACTTAAAATTCGTTTTTTTGTTATATTATTAATAGTGCACTTTAGTATCAAAATGTGTGTCACAGTCAACAAAAATAAGTATAAGTATTAAAATTTACTGAAATACACGAGTGAAGTGAAACAAATTGTTCAACAGTTAACAGTTTTATTTACAAATAGGTGACTCAAAAAAGTTTTTGAAAAATATTTCGTATTTCGTTTTTTTGTCTTTTACTGTTTTTTTCTTTTTTATTTTTTTTTTATTTTAATTTTTTTAGTAAAAACATTGTATTTCCAAAGACAAGTAATCAATGACAGTATAGCTTTTTAATTAAAAATGTGTAGCAGAAAAATAAATAGCACGTGGCTCATTTACTTACGTTGGCTTTTTTTATTTCGAATATTTCAAACTTACATGGAAATCGTATTGAAAAATAATGTCAAGCGTTTGTGAATTTTTATGTACTGCAACACCGAAAAGTTATCAATTGTATTCTTTTAAAAATAAAGTATAAAACAATTAAGAAGGGCCAAAGAGAAAGGGATATAGAGACAAATTACAATGTCAAACCCACTGGTTTACCCGTAAAACGTAACGTCTACGTATAGTCAAATTCAGTAACATTAAAAAATACTGATTTTATTGCACCATTATTTAATTACTCATACATACTCATATATATTAAAAAGAGAAATATGAGTGCTGTGTTTTTATTATTATTTTCTATCCACGTACGATAGACATTTCTTTTTNTTATTATTATTTTTTTTTAATACATACAACACTGTAGTTGTGTATGTGTTATTTTTTAATACCATAGATTCGTAAAAAAAGACTAAATTCGGCAATAACCGTCGATTATCAACAAGCAGTGCGGAATTTTTTTTTATTCCTTATATACATGTCCCTTATTCGAAATGCGCTGTTCTTATCGACACGGAAAAAGATTAATAGTAATAATAGATTTATACTTAATAAGTGATAGCTAATTACTACACGGAGTTTTTTTTAAAGGGTCTGATTCTTGAAATAGAGCTGAAACAACTACAATTTTTTTATTTATTTAGGACTTTTCCACACCACGCCAACGAAGAACTAGGAACTTACTAGATGAGCTTTTGTCTCTATACACTTGTTTTTATTATTTTTGGTTTTTTCAATGCCGTATATTTTTGGATTACCTTTAACATCTTTACAGCGAGATTTACGGTAAAGAATTAGATTTTTTAATTATTCGTTGATTGATTCGAGTACATATTGTTTGGTTTCAAACAATGCGATTTGAAATATTTTTTTTTTCAACTAAGTAGTCCACCACTTCAAAATAAAAATAATTTATTGATATTGGAAGACGAATATCCTCAAAATATAGGTAGGTGTATAAATGCAAACATTTTTTCGTTGCGAAGAATAACGAAAACACGCTATTCTAGGGAGAATTGAGATCAATTAGAAAAAGAGGGAAGCTCTAATTCTTCTCAGATTATAATTAAATAGTAAGGTACATTATGTTACGTACCTAATCCTTATTGCTTCCATAAAACACTTAGATGTATGGTTTTCTCGTCATCATATTAATAAAATTATTTTAATCATCATGCGGTAACTGACCGAAAAGCTTAAATCTTACATACAAAATCATTTAGTGAATTTGAATCTCCAGTTTATTTTAGAGTATCATTAAGGAGGTAACGCTGCAGTTCTTTTTTCAAAGGTATTTCCTTTAAAAATTTACTTGCAGGTACTTGTAAGAAAAATTATTATTATGCAAACTAATACACTTTTTGTTTAGGAAACAAGTATTACTCAACGTTTTATGCTCTTTTCGTTCGTTTTAATGAGCTTATTACTCTGTAAAGAAATCACAGCCACCTTTCAAGGATGCAAACATTTGTCTCAACAATATTGCAGAATACATTTCGTGAAAACATACGAAATACGCAATCGTTGTATTGATGCATATCGGATACGCCCTTTAATCAATTCCAAACTTGCGATTTCTCAATTTTCTACCCGATGAACCATAAATAAATAAATTAATGAGTGAATAAATAAATAAGTACTTTAATCGGTACAAGTGTACTTTACCATTAAAAGAATTATACCATTATACTTTTGTAAATCAAAAACCGTAAACAACGCAAATTAACTTTAAGTTGACAGGGACTCGTGAAAATGTAGCGAAAAACACTTAACAATTTCGCAGCGTTCTATCACAGATCACCACCAAACACTCTATACGTTGGCAATTCAAACTTTCTTGCCAACACCACCACCATCGCCATTATTATATTATTAAAAAAACTCCTTAGCTGTTCAGATCGTTGATGGCCTGGAGTATTCTTTTAACGTGTCCCACCTTCGTTATACCCAACTCCTTGAGGTCCCGTCTTGCCAGCGTCAACAGTTCTCTGCCGCGGATATCGTGGGACTTGAAGTTTTCGCAGTACTCGCCTAACTGAAGGTTTATCAACCATGAGCAGACCTCAGGAACACCCCACGTGGTTACTTGATCGCGAATCGGGTCACGGGGTAGCGGTGATGATGAAGTTGAAGTCGAACGCCGGAACTTTAACCAGAACAAGCCTCGGTGACGATTTTTTTTGTCGATCTGTGAAGCAGCGACAAGGTAGCGGAAAGCAACGACAATGGGTTAGTAATCGTTAGTACGCTTTAAAGCTAGCTTTCTTTTTTTGTGTTATTAGTCGATGGGCAAAATATTCCTTTTCAAGTTAACGCGATGCCTTTTGTCATGCTTTGTTTTTTAAACACAAGTAACTTTTTTTTTCTCGAAAATCAATGCTTTGAAAAATGAAAAAAAAAACTATACCTGATCGTCTAATGGAATATTTTGTAAGTACACGAGCCCGGATCCTGCTTCGTCAAACTGACATTTTCGTAGTTCCTGCTCCATGGTTGCCAAAGATGTTGATAGCTTGTGCTCCAGGTCTTCTCGGACCTTCTGCATTGTGGAAAAAAATTTTTTTTTTTATTTCTAGTTGAACTGTAATTAATTTTTTTCATAAATAAGACTCACCAATTGATGGGCCTTATCACGAAGGACTTCACAAGACTCTTCATAAAGTTGTCTTGCATTGGAAACCATGTTTGTGATCACTTGCCTCAAAGTTGGCTAAAAAATGTAATAAAAAATACAGCATGAAAGACACACAACAAAAGTAATGCAGTAATCAGAGATTCAACAAATCTATCTCGACTCACCCCTTCAAGAAGTTTACCATCCGGATGAACCTTATCTACCGACTTGGCTGTACGTTCGGCTAGCTGATAGAGATGCGGCGCTAAACTAGGATGTGCGAGAATGAGCATTTTTACCCATTTGACGAGAGTAGTTACAACCTCGATGAATCCAAGCAAGACCATCATCTCTTCACCAACTAAAGAGGACTGTTTGTTGTCGATTTGTGCTTGGCTATTCGATCGCGAGGATGGTTGTGTGACAGCGGCGATTGTTTTGTTCTGTTTTTCTTGCCAGGCTCGCAGAGACGTCTCCAGAGCCTTTGGTAAAATACATTTATTGTACGTTTTAGCAAACAAACACATAATTTTACAACATAGTACTTACCCTATTTCTACAAAGCATTTGCATCCGGTTCTTGTGAATGATTCTGATGACACCCGGCTGTTGTATCCAGGCTTCGCCATCAACTTGCACGGGCACACCTTCTTGCCCCAAAATATTAATCTGAACGGATTGACACTGTGCGATTCTATGATGCTGCAAATTTATCAGACGAGAAGCAGCCATCTGCATCGAGCCAAAAACAGCCACTACCTCCAGTATGCGATCATCAAATGAGGGCGCCAGAAAAATGTCACCCTCTTTCGTTCCACCCCAGAAATTCGTGCCTCCCATGAAACTTGGAATGTTGAGCACCACGATGCCTTGAAGTGATGGCAAAGGAATCCTTTGGCCGTCACACTCTAGCTGCACTCTCTGATCGAGATTTTTGTAAGTTCTCTGCAACACTTGTTTTGATCCCAGTACACCGTACCACATGTAGTTTATTGCACGCGATCGGCACTTTTCCGGATGTTCCTCTCGCTTATGATGAAAATCCAAGCTGATCTTTGCGTCGATACCAATGCCGAAATAGTTATTCATGACGGAACGTTCAAAGTAACCTTCCCTGTAATAATACAAGTACCAAATAGTTATTTGAAAAATCTTTATAAAACTGAAGAAATAAAAGAGTATCGCACATCAGGGTTTGATCTGGATCCATCAGAGGAGACACAGCAGCGCAAAGAGCATCGGCATTAGCCAAGAGAGCTTGACTTATTAAACCACCGCTTACGTCTGAAAAATAAAGATTATTATGCCTCCAAAGTTGAACTTGAGTATCGTTTAATTATTTAATTCAACCCACCTGGCCACATGGGTAATCTGACTAATGGATTGATTATTGGTAGTTTTTTCACTTCATCAGTCTTATCAATGGATTTGGATCGATCGTGTTTCAAACTCATGTTGGAGCCACCGTATCTAGACGTCAATGATTGTACTGACAACATATCGTTGGATTTTAACAAACTACCCACACTGATGCGTCGCGTTGCTTGTGGCGAGGAGCCTACATCATCTGGCAATTCAACACTCACTGATGGAAAAAAAGTGCAATTCAATAGGTTGTAAGAACTTAGGAATTAGATGATTTTTAATTAATTACTTACGCTTTTCCATACTTCCTCCACTGTATCTACGAAAATAAGCACCAAGATGACCATAACCGAATTCATTTTCATTTTTACTCTTGACAGAGGCAGACGGACTTGGTGGGTCGACAATTACGCTGATCGCGGGTGGAAAATTGGGCGAATTGTCATTAGATGGGCTTGGACTCGATGTCACGGTAAATCGACAGACTGGAGCGTCGAGCAAAGCTCCTAATTTTTCTTGGTCATCTTCGGGACTTGGATCATTAGACTCGCTTTCTGAAAATTTTTCAACTATGCTGCTAAATGGACCTATTGGATTTCCCTTGAAAATGCCCTAAAAGTATGAAATTTTTATTGGAGCTAGTGCAAAAATAAATTTTAAATCGAATGAGTGAGAAAATGTACCTCTTTATTAACTTTGGATGATTTTGGCCTTTTGAATGATCTTCGAGCTATATCGTTACCTTCAACGAACTTGGCCAAACTGCAAAACTTTTGAGGTTTCTCCAGATGTTCAGTCTCCACACCCTCTCTAACAGAATCGTACTTTTCTCCAACCATAGTGCTAAACAAGTCCTGCCCCAGAGAACTCAAGTCATCGATTATGCTTTCGGAGTTAGGAATGTCGCTCATACAGAGATCTGAATTTTCTGGCGAGTCAATGTGCCCGATCTCTGAATTTTCCGAACGCTTCGTTGAGTCTAAAATATCGCTATCTTTACGTCCTGAAAAGTGTCAGAGAAATCATTCTCATGAATAGCAAAATTTTCTTCACAAGCATACACTGAGAAACATTTTAAATAGAGTATTTTTCTGGTCAACTTTTTGAATTTATTTTCTCAGTATCGTCAGAATTCGATACAAGTGCTCTTACCGATCTCACTCTCGCTGTTTTTAAATACGTAGTTGTTTTTCGAGTCTAACGATTCCGAAACCATACTGTCCGAACTGACAATACTATTGGTGCAGCTGCCTCTGGGAGTACCGATTTTTGGAGCATCGTTGGCCGATTTTGTGTCCGGACACTCGGGAGAAGCGTCTACCGATGGCACCGAATCGGTATCCGGAGATATAATAGCGTCCTTAAGGAAATAATACTTATTTTTCAAATAAAATAAACACATTCTTAATACAATTAAAAATTACTCTAGTTATATACTTGTATGGTTGTGTCGTCAGAAGGCGAGCTAGTGTCTAAACTGGTTGGCGTTACTGTTACTGGTAAATCCGATTGAGTTGGCTGTGTAGGCTCTGACTCGTTTGGACTAGGTCTTTGTTGTTGATAAAGTTTATTAGCTGCCGATTCAACTGTATTCGACTCAAAACTAAATACTCTAAAAAAATATAACCATCCCATTAGTAATTCCAACGAATAAGTAAAATCGGTTCTATAAAAAACTTACTCCTGAGGAAAATTTTCGCTGTTTCTCCTACTATCGGCAAAGCCATCGGGAGCTGGTAATGTGAGCAACTCCTCAGGTTGCGAGTCTCGTCTGATATCCGGCATTGGACTCAGTGATGTAACATTCGGTGTAGGCGAGGAGCAAGGCGTCATGTCACAACTACTCGCCGACTCCAAAGACGGAGTCACGCATAGGCTTTCGATGTTAAAGTCCTTGTTCCAGTCAGGTATGCCCAATTGTCGTCTACGCTCTGCTACAGGTATGATTGTTTAATATATTTTTATTACAAAGTTAAAGTTTGTTAAACTTGTGGATGATCAACGGCTCACCATTTAAATCATCACTATCGGTCGTGATCGTGATGTTCGGTGTTTTTGTCGCGCTGTTCTGCTCATCGACAGCTTGTTCGGTGTGCTCTACAAGCCGTCTGATGGCTCTTTTCAAACTATTTGCTCTATTTCAATTCAATACAAGCGTTATAAAATGTCAAAAGCTCTCTTTCCACTCTAACTTTGCAAAACGATTTTCTTACCTGGATATGACTGCCTGATTCTCCTCAAAGCCTTTCCTTTGGCGCACCTTCTTCAGATTAGATAGGTCCTTTTCTGGCTTCTCCAGCAAACCCTTCTCTTCTTGTTCCTCGAGACTGGGCAGTTTGTCCGACTTGATAGTGTCCGCGTTCGCGTCTTCATCCGCGTCTGCGATAAAGTTCTCCTCCCGATGCAGCGTTTGAAGCAACATATCGAGCTTCTGCTGCAGTATATCACACTTTTCACCCATCTGATCGTCGCCCGCGTTCACACTCGTCTCGGATATTCGGACCACAAATTCCTTAACCGTTTCGCACAGCACTCTGTTGGATGATAGATGAAATATTTTAACAAAAAGTGAACAACAATCCATGGTAAAATATAAAGCACGGCATTGACTAACTTGGCACTGGATATGACGATGGCCTCCTGGTCCGACTGCATTATATTGGTAATATGGGACATGACGCTATCCTCGTACTCGTGAACTAAACTGTGGCTTATAGCCGAATCCGACTGATCCTGCAGCTTTTGAGCGCTAACATCAACGGGTCGCTCAAACACCATGATGCTCCACCCTTAAAGCAGTCATGAGAATCAAATATTGTCAAAAGTGACGTATAAAAAGAGATTGATGGCAATGAACTTACTGTCTAACATTCTGTAATGGAGGCAGGTAGTTAGATTGGGCGGTTTTTATATTCATTTTTCTTCACTATTGAAATAAAATGAACATAAAAACAGTCCAATCTTACTTGCAACTGGCTTGGGCATATTTATCAAGCAAAATCGTCAGATTCGAGTCATCTAACACGTTAGAAATAGAACTGCCCCACCCGAGGACCTTTGGAAAAATTATAAAAAATGTATTATCAACTAACAAATATCCACGTGAGTTTTTGATACTTACTCGGCTTAAGTCATTGCCTGTTCCGAGAGGCAAAGTGCCGACCTGAGTTTGTTTCTGTATGGAAAGTAGATTGATCAACTTGAGATTGCTTAAAATTATGTTTTAATTACTCACGTGCATCCCTAATCTATCGATTTCGGAGAGAACCCAGCCAATAGATCCATCACCACTGCAGACTAGTATACGAAACGGATCAAAGTGCCGAAACAGCCTCAGCCTGCATTTAAACAAAAGCATAAAGTGTTTTTGGCCTATTATGTTTTTATCAAGAAAACTGTAAAATCATACCCGGGACCTGGACCACCTTTAATGAGATCAAACACCTGGGCCGGATTGAGTATCTGCTTAAATCTTCTTAAAAACCTAAGCCCTTGATTGTCACCAGACTTACTGTTAACAAATACTAAAAGTGGACTACAGCCAACGGGCCTCACGGCATCCCATGCCTCATCACTACCTATACAATAAATTCAGTCAATTTTAGCTTAATTCCACCAAATTCTGGTTTTTTGTTAAGAAAATATGTACATTTTTTTCCATTTTTTAGGAAATAATAAAAAAAAAAAACTCGAGATTACCTATGCTGTGTAAGGCTGTTGGTGGTACAGTGCTCAGCTTAGCTGGCCCTAAGGGACACGTTATTTTCATGTGTGGCCTGCATGCAGTGTGCACTGTGGCCTTGCACCACAAGCATCTCCAGTCTTGTAACCTACTTGTGGAACGTTTATTAAATTACTAAATTGTTTATTAAACAAATCGATGATGTGCAAATGGTAGGAAATATGAAAGCAATGTTTATACCTAAGCACAGAACCACAATTCTTCTCGCAGATGAAGCATTTTGAGGCCACTGGGAGGTTTCCTTCCATCCATTGATGAGGCATCAAAATGTTCTGAAACAGAAAAATTCCATTTTAAAGATGGAAAATTTTTTAAAAGTAATAATGTTGAGCTCTATTAAAATTTTTACTCCATCTGGATCTTCTATAATATCTTTGCCAACGGATGCTAATGTGGTCCACTTGCAGTTGTTTATTGCTTTTAAGATGCATCTTTTGTGCACTTTGTATTTACAAATTTCACAACTAAAACCATGAAACGTAACTCCTACGAAAAAAATCAATTATTAAAAATTTGAAAGAATAAGTGAAAGTTTTATGTATTGGAACCAATTGTACCTAAAAAAGAATCTCTGCAAACATTGCAATAAGTTGGTTTAGCGTGGTTGGTCTCGTGAAATTGATGATGACCACTTAGAAGCTCCTGTTCCACAGCAGACCTTCCAGCTGTACTTTTCAAAGCATCATAAATATCGTCCATCTCCTTACTGTTTTCCCCACAGAGAATCAACGACCTGATGGGAGTTATCACCTACAACAGACAAAAAATCTACATTAAAGTAGTGCTCAATCAGAAGTGTTTCATCAACAAAATAAACAAAAATCCTAATAAACTAAATTTTTCTTGATATACTTATCAAAAAACCGCTTATGATTTGAAACAAAAGAAAAGAAATCAACATCTTGTTAAAATTCAGACACGTTATCTGTTGCAGAGTTCGAGAGATTATAGCAGTTTGAAATTTTGGCCGTGTCTATTCCTACCAATATATATATACATGTTTTTTAAATAAAGAAATTGAATGAAAACTTAGTTTTCTAGAACCAGTTATGTCCATATACTCCATTTAACTGTACTGTAGTATGTCTGTGTTCATTCAAACACTTCCTAATTTGAAAATAACAGACTCATACCCTATTAAAGGGCTGTAGGTACTATTTTTCTCACTTGTGCTTGTCAAAAGTTGGCAACTGACAAAAGGAGAAGCCACTTCATTGTAGACATTGTATTTAACACACTGGGGATAGAAAATAATGCTCTGATAAAGGCAATTACTTTTGGCATGTGTGAGACACGAGCTATTATTACAGCGTGTATGTGTTTCAAGTGCTTTTGCTCTCATTTTTCGACAGACAGGTGCATTTAACGCTGGAGAATAAGTAGGTAAAGAACAAAAGGACTGTGACGTGATGCACTTTCTTTCATCGATTTACTGCTTTTCAAGTACAAAAAATACTTACGTTGATAGCATAAATATTTATGAAATCAGTTAAACAGGATATTTATTCAATAAAAATAATAATTTGTTTATTTCATCTATAAATTAGCGTTTTCACCCAAAGTTGGTTTCAAGTGAAAAAAAAAAAATAAATAAAAAAAAATAAAAGATACAAAAGAGGAGAAAAGACGTTAAAAGTGCAAACAATATAACAAAACTCTAATTCAAAACAATATCATTTTCACGTAAATTAAAAAGGAAAAAGGAAAAATCAAGCAGAACTGACAGTAAAAAGACATCAGCGTCCATGGGTGCAGTGTATTATCTCTCTCAAAAATATAGGTTAAGGTACGACCCCCAGCAGCAGACGATTTGATAGAAAATCCATTCGAAATATAAAAAAGGAGTCGGCTCATTTTGTGACATCTCACACGTGTGTCATCGCGGCTTGTCAGTTGTATAATAATCTCGTCTTGCTGATGTGTGCACATAAACGACGATAGGTATATAAGTAAACGTAAAAGAGAGAACAAGTGTGATTTTTGCATTGAAGAAGGTGTACTAGAAAAAAAAAAAGGCTACCTTAAACCGCGTCCGGTTTTTTTGCTGTTTGGGTGACATTTGTGCCAACGATGGGCTCGCCGCCTTGGCGACGGCATGTGTGCGGGCTGCGGAAAGTTGATAATCCCACCAACTATAAACTAACAACTTTCTGCTCTTCTCTCTCTCTCCGTGTTCCGCAAAGCGCAGAGCAGCACTGTTGGCTTTTGCCGTCAGGCCGCACGTCTATCGTGAGGGTATAATTATAATAAACCACTCTATTCTTGATACGTATCTAACTCTGCCATGTACGTACGTTGCACAGGGTGTTTTATTTTTATAAATTTACCTACGTAAAACTAATAGAGCAGATTAGCCGATAATGAACTCGATGCATTGTGTTTAAGGTATACCTATATACTTATTGCTATTTATCGAGCTTTACAATTATTGCTAGTTTAGGTATGTGGAAAACCCATTTTTATATTTACCGTTGGAAAAGTTTCTTGTTGCTTTTTAAAAATGTTCAATAATTCGTAATATTTGTTATACTCGTAGGTTTGACATATAATTATTAAAAAACAAATCATTCTTTGGTTATTGGGAATTAATGGCGTTTTGCAACAACATGCGATATATATATGTATATATATATTATACTGATTCCTTGAACAATATTTATACAAACACACGTTTTTGTCGCGAGATACCGAATTTTATTTGCTTTCACTCATAACTTTTCCAACTGTACTTGTGTGCACCAATACTTGTTATTCCTGTGTACCCCTTCTTGTCATGTAGGTATATAGGTAATTATGAAAACTTTTATTTTTCACCTATCCATGTGCACTTGTATGCAATATATATTGTAATGTCCATACATGTTTCACTTTTCTACGTCAAATTGTATAGGTCGAAAGTGTAAAAAATTATGTTAAAAGCTTGGAAATTGAAGATCATATTATATACACTTTCAGGATGAACAATGCACGCATATCAATTAAATCGAAGGAGCATATATTCAAAGCGCACTCGCAGTGTCGAACAACGAGGCACCGCAACGTGGAAATTTGGTGGTCTAAAGAGGGGAGAAAGTACGAAAATTACACCCCCTCCGACCCCTAATGGCCTCTTTACCTAGAAATCGAAAGACTTGAGAGTTGGTTTTTTCGAGCCCTCGCTTTTTCCCGGCCTACGGCTCTTTTTATTTCCCCCCCCCTCCCCCCGTTCGTACATATACGCGCACTTTCCGTAAAAGGCGTTTCGGCACCCCGGCCTTCTTCTTTTATTTTGTGTTGTTAATTTCAGGTCAAGGTAAATCGGGCTCTGTGATGTACGGCGCACTGCTGCATTTATCGCGAATGTTTACTTTATTTCGTTGAAAAGTGTCCTTTTTTTATATGTATATATTAACGGCTCAAGGAATAATAGAGCGGTTGGATATCAAGTTTCGCTTTTTGTTTGGTAAAGTTGAGTCGAATCGATCCTCTGGTTGTACATACTTGATATTTTTACTGTACGCGCGAGAAAACAAGTTTAACATTTGGAAGAACGGAAATTAACGATGATTTCTCTCGTTTTCTTGTTTCGCGAATTCGTTTCAATCTAAATGCAAATAAGCAAAATATACATATGTACACGTTGCAACCTTCGGTGTATTGTAAACACAAGGAAGATCCTGAAATGAAGGACTTTACTTCCCCCCCCCCCCTAACAGAAAAACGAGTGAAAAGGAAGAACCGAATGCTTCGAGATGAAAAAATGTCCCACATTCCCTTTTTTTTATTATAAAAATAATTTAAAAAAATAATAAACTCACTGTACAAGTATTATTTCGTGCAGGCATTCAAAGAGGGAGAATATCTTTTTTTTTTCCCTCAAGGCCGTGATGAAAATTTCGACTGTATAGCAGACCTTTGGTGTTCATAGACGCCTTTGTGTCGGTTTTTTTTTTTTCTCGATAGGTGGTAGGTACCCAAAAAAGTAAGCCGAACAAAAAATAATGATGGATTTTATCTTTTTTTTTTTCTTTTGTTATCATTACAGTCTGACGTAAGTATTTCTTTTTTTTTTTCCATCATACTGGCCGAATAATACATCGATTTTGTCAATAGTCCTTTCATCGTTTCGTGTGGCCCACCTCACGCTCCATACAACTATTCGTTAAAAACATTGGTTTCGACGCTGATCAAATAAATAATCGCTCTACTCTCATTGTTGAGCAGCTAATACGTGGATTTTCGTAAAAAACGTATCATTTTTCATTCTATGTGGATAATTAAAACGTTGGCAATCGCACGAAAATCCGTTTCATGTACAATATGTGCATTTTTTTTTTCTTTCCCATTATACACTCGCATAAGGAAAAAATGGCCCAATCGACAGACTGAAGCGATTACATTAGGCCGTTCCATAAAGTGCAAGCATTCGATCGGATTAGTGCGCTCACTGGTTGCTTTCCCCCCCACGATCGAACGCGTAATATGCTTTCGGGAAGCTGAGCAGGCCGCCTCTTTAGCTCAGTGGTAGAGCACTGGTCTCGTAAACCAGGGGTCGTGAGTTCAAACCTCACAGGAGGCAAGAATTTTTTGACCCACGGGTATTTTCCACCCCCACGTGCTCTTCTGCCTGGTGTATTCAATAATCGATGACACGCGACATACTTACGCACCCCCATGAAATACCATAGGTCACCTTTTATTGTTATCGTTTCACTTTCTTGTCGTCGCTTATAAAATCTATCCTTGGACAAAAAAATGCTTTGTTTGCGTGAAAAATAAAAAAAAAGGTTTCTTAATCAAGTATAAAAAATATTTTACATAAGATGATTATATAACGCTCTTTTCTTTTGTGACCGGTGAGTTGCGCGAACAATGTGGTGTACATGGTTGAAGAAAAATATTTTTGTCGTATGAAATTTTGAAAGGATAACTCGCCCGCAAAGTTCTTTGGGAAGAAACTTTTGGCCCTCGAAAGAAAAAGTTTCGCCTCTATTGTTCGTTACTAACAAAAAGTTTTAATTTACCTCATCGGAAAAAAAAGCTCCACTCTGTCGTTGAATTATAAACAAATACTAGCACCACGTGAAAATGGCACGCAAGTTGCAACCAATTCCAACAAAAAAAAAAAAAAAAAAAAAAAAAAAAAAAATTGTACGTAATGCGAGAGCTGTTATACTCTCCATTACCGTTCGGTATACAAATTACTGGATAAATGTGGCGAAAAAATCGTAATGATCATAGGAAGATATCTAAAGTAGAAAATGTGTAATACGTGCTCCCAGTTATAGTCTTGAAATATTCACACGAGTACATATACGTGGAAAAGTACTTTGTGGTAATCAGCTCGAGTATCAGTGTACTTTGGAGTGGAATTTACCTCGGCTCCGTGTAGTGTTTGTCACGTGAAAGCGTAGCAGCTCATCAGCAGGTAAGTAAAGCGTACCCATTACTATGGTACTCTGATTAATCAAACTCGTTGGTAAGTGTATTTATCTTTTTCCGCGTATTTACACGTACACATTTGTACTGTAATTTTACTTTCACGCTGATGATGATGTTCTGGGAACGAAGTGCTGTTTGAGCTATCGCCAACGAAAACATACGTAGACGACTTTGGTAAGTATCGCGCCGAATGAAAGAAAAACACGCGCAACGAGTCCCTTGGGAAAAAATAAACAACTGCGGAACGAGAAAGTACGAAGCGAACGGCGTGTTTTTACGGTTTGATTGGGGGGTGACTTTTAATTTGAATGAAATTACCCCCGACGAAG